GACATGGTTGGGAATAAGAATACAATTTCACGTTAAACGGAGAAAGGAAAAAACAATCATAGGGGATGTCAAGCCTTTTGCTAAATGCTGTTTCTTTGCTTGAAAGAGAGCTTTCTCTTTCGATTTTTGCCCTTGCCTCCTTTCTTTTCAAGGTCTCATTACTACCAGAAGGTCAGACTCAGGAGGTGAACATGTTCCCAGCCTTCTCAACAATACAAACTCAAGAAGGAAGGTAGGAGTGCATATGCAAATAACAGCTCCCTGGTGCTTCCAGCATTGTACTTTCACATTCATCATGCCAGCTCCCAACCTCACAGTGGCCCTGTGTGCCTGCCCACCCCGTTTTTTAATCAGTGGCTCCCCTGCCTCCCACAATCATTCATACAGCCCCGGTGGAATACTTTTCTTCCCCCTCCCTGGCATCACAACAAAGCTAAGAAGCAGGAAGGAATGCCACTTAAAGGCAGGTCAGACAATGATGTAATTAGCAGATCAAGGAGAAGTGGTATTTTTTAAAGCCCCACAGAGCAAGAGTTGGGCTGGTTTCGGAGTTCATGCCATTACCCGGAAACTACAGCCACTAAAACACAATTACCTAAATCACTTTTTTCCCCTCCACATGATTATAAATCTGTGTAAATATTATCATTTCCTGGGGGAAAAAAGGCTAAATGTATCATATAGAAATTTCAATTAGAAACAAATCTAAACCCATGCAAGTTAGGCATGGGGTGCACGGTTCTGCAAATCCATTTCTTTGAACAGGGATCCACCGTGCAGGAAACACTGATTCTCACTTGCTATTTTCTGGGGCTGTAAAAGTGACTAAATGCAGCCCCTAATTATACAGGGCAGACAAGCTGGGGAGGTAGACTGTCACTAGGCAGTCTCGGAGAATCATATTCAGGACAAGGTGTGGGTTCATACCATTAGCCACAAGACGAGAAGAGAGAAATGACATGTCTTGTTTGAACTTTCCCAGGAGAGAAAAGTCTGAGAGCCAAACTCATGCCTGCGGAGAAAGCAGAGACCCATCTCGGGCAGGGCTTTCAAAATCTGTTCTACGACCACCACGTGATCAGAGGCATCTCCCTCTGTGCAGAAGGGTAGGATATATTTCACTTAGGTACTTGTCCCTCTTTTCACGAAGAGCATTCTGTCATAGATGAGAAGTGTTAGTCCATGGTGTAAGAGTCGGTTACACCTCGGTGACTTTCAATAAGTTGAGTGTTTCCTTCTGCTGCTTGCCAGCTTGGGGTGAGAGTCAGAAACCAACTCAATGCAACTAACAACAAGTTTGTTCGGAAATACTCTCCGACCAAGTATTTACAAGTTGCACAAATCGGAAAAAGAAATTAGTCCAAGACCTCCTACGCACACCAAAACATGA